ATTTCATTTCAAACCGACGTCACATTATTTTGATTGCTGTAGTCCTACTGTAACAACAGAAGACAAGGGCCAGGCGACAGATCATTTATTAAGGAAATCAACGCATATTTATATATTTTCATGTACATTACTATGGATATTTAAGCAAACAAACACAGTCTTCCGATTGGTTGTTTCTCACGTAAAGTTAATCTTTCATCTATTTGTGACTGTTTCTTGAATGTCAAATCCTCTATATGTTAACTGCATCAGCCTACGCAAAGTCTGCTGTGGTCGGTTTTGAATCAATCTTTGTTCACGTTTTCTCACGACAAATCTTGGGAACGTAAATATTGACGTAAATTACTGTCTACCAATTTGGCTAGTAGACAGCTCTCACCACACTACAAACGGATTTTAAATTCTGTTGCAAATGGAAAGAAAGATAAAGTTACTCTTTCCGGTGATACCATTGTCAGGCTGTACAATCTCATACATATAACAAATTCCTTTAGTTGGTATGAAAATGTATGATGTATGGGATTGTATAGTCTGGAAAATGATACCACTGAAGAATCACTCTTCGGTAGACGAATTTTCTCCTATTCGGTCCTATAAAGCCTCACAGCAGCCCGATTACTCAATCAAATTGTAGCAATCATTTGGAGGATATAACCGTACTATTTCTGTAAAACTTGTTAATGTCAACTACATTATACCTTCAAGTTTAGTTTTATCATTTCAGACGGATTATTTGTAATCACTACGCAATTTATTGTTTATTAATAGTGTTCCACTTCATAATAATTTTATGATAAATGTGCTATTAGAGGCTACATCTCTGACATTAGGAATAAGTGTCATTCTGAGTTACACCCTGGTCATTTTAGGGTGCTACGGGTGTGACATTTCATGATCAAGAGATTATGAAAAAACGAAGTGCATAAGAATTAAGAAAGATGAATTGTAAGCCGAAACTGATATTGCTAATTGACTTTGTTTAATATGGTCTCATAACCTAGTACAAATACCAAATGTACATTCTCATAGGCAATGATCTATCAACTAACTTTTTGCTATTATTGAAATCCTTAAGATACCTTTTCAGGATTTGATACATGGCAATGTTGTAAACAAATGTGTAGCTTTTGTTCGAGCCGCATCTATCAACCAAAGCGGATTACCAGTATATTACTGGTAGTAATTGTGATTTCACCAAACACTGTCCATTAGCACTGCACATGATTCCGCAAAGGTTGAAGGCATAGTTAATTGATTTGTTAGTGGTGAAGGAGTTTCTAGCGTTTGTTTCACAATTCGCACACTGCTGATGTAGCTATCATATTAACCTTGGTAGATAATGGAATCGTAACTGAATTGTTTTCATATGGTCAAGAATAGGCTTCATTGGGAACTGAATGAAAAATGCTTTTCTCTCATTTTTGGAACAGAAAATCAATCAATTACTAAAGAATATTATGATAAAGTGAAAATATCTTGTGTTTTAAATTTTTAGTAGTGGTAGCCCGTAATGAAACTAGTTGGAGGACTTATTTCTTCTCAGGTTATCTAGATAAATATTGATTCGCTAATGATTAGTAATGAACTACACCATGGGTTTTCTGTACTTTTAAGTACGTTAATTGGTAGGTTAGGTAAATATTTCTCTATTCTTTTATGTTCCTAGCGGATCACAGCGCTTCAAGCTAGGGTTTGGATTTCCGGTAACAGTGGTGTTTATTTTCACGGGGTGTAGTTGCTAGCCTCATACCCAACCTCTCCTCCTTACTTGTCTTATCACCGGCTTAGCGAGGTTAAGGAGTGCGTCAGCCAGGGATTGAACTCCAGACCACATACGTGGTCCATACCACCGATGCATAGGTTGACTGTGACGGCGGCACAGCGGTAGAATGCTCGTCGACCATGCGTGTGGTCTGGGGTACGATCCCCGGCCGACGCACGCCTAAACCTCGCTAAGACAGTAATAAGACTGGTAAAGAGGGAAGGTTGGGCTTGAAGCTAGCAATCCGATCCTGTAAAAATAAACACTGCTACAGAAACTTCAAGACTCTAGCTTGAAGCCCTATGTTCCACTGGGAATGTGAAGGGATGAAAGAAAAGAGGTTGAGTAAGCTGAGAAAAGGCAATATGACATAACAATGTTGGATGTCACTTGCACTTTGTTTAGTTTTATTAAGCATTACAGTATCTCGTGTTAATCCGACCACTTTTCTATGACATAAAGGGTTCTTTAAAATTTTTTATATTTTACAGTTGCTTTTGTATGGAAGACAATTTTTATGATATTGTTAGATATATGAGCTAAGTTTGGGACTATACAATTAACCCATTCACAAATTTTCAAAATTCAGAAGTAACATAATGTGCAGATACCTAATGAAACGAGACTTTCTCAGTATAGTCTTAATCTTGTATCTGTTTAATGTTACATACCGTGGATATATAAGCGGCTTATCAGTACTTTTGTTATCATCTACCAGTTAAGTTAATATGAAGTTAAATTGCAGAACTGGTACGCGTATTTACCACAACGGTAATATATGTATTTACATTCCTCCAGTTACAGCTTTATTCAAGACTTCTATTTCAAATTTGAAAAATTCATATTTGTAGGATTCCTCAGACAGGTGTGTAAATACTGTAGTTATAATGGTTGTTCGCTTCAGCAAATCCTCTTTATTCAGAAAACATCGCATTGACTAAATTAAACCACTTTTGCGCGGAAAATCGCTAAACTCGAGAAGGCACGTAATCCTTTCTGTTCCTTTCCTACCCATCACATTTTCTTTGTTATTTAAATGGCGTGTTAAAGTAACCTTATACGACTGATATGAATGTTCTATTCCTTATGAGAGGTAATTCTATTTAGGTGCCTTTTGATAACTATAATAATAGTTATTATTATTCATTCGTGGATCCTAGTTCATATGCTGTGAATTCTATTTCAAATGTGTAATGCTGCAATACTAAGAATCACCTAGTTTTTCTTCATTCATGATGATGCTCAAGCTTTCTATGATGATAACACTTTCAGTATATCTAGAAAATACGAGATTATTCTTTGATGTCTGTCAACAGTTTTTAGATTATCTTATCGATATTGTTACTACCGTTAACACTTACTAGTTGTTTCTTTTGTCTTTCCAAAGTAGCTATTTTGTTCCACTATATCTTTCTTCACCCCACTGCTGGGAATCTTTCCCGTTTTTAAGTTTCGTTTTTTCAGTGTGGCAGTGAAATATGTTTGGGTTTTAAATGAATACAGATTTTAAAATCGAAAAGGTAAGATAAGCAGGTTTGATCGTTTATTCTTTAAAAAATTAAACGAAGTTTTGATGCACCTTATTACTCTTTATTTACTCTTCAGGATCAGTTGCCACGAGTTGTTGTTGTTGGTGACCAGAGTGCTGGTAAAACATCGGTATTGGAAATGATTGCACAAGCCCGAATATTTCCAAGAGGCAGTGGGGAGATGATGACTCGTTCTCCAGTTAAAGTTACCCTTTCTGAAGGACCATATCACGTAGCTTCATTTAAAGATAGTTCGCGTGAATATGACCTTACGAAAGAATCTGAACTTGCGTCCCTTAGAAAAGAGATAGAGGTTAGTTAGTTTTATTTTCCGTATATTGTAAGCAGTTTATTTAAACTTCTGGTACCTAGATCCATTTTTCGCTAGTATGCCAATTTTTTAAGTGGCATATTTGTCATTATATTTACCTTTATAACTATACCACTTCTACGTATACGTACTCTGACTTCCCAGATCCGATAAGTATACCGTTTTTGTATTATATCTGTCAGAATTAATCACTTTCAGCCATGAAATCGACTGGAGTTCCAGTTAACTTATTAGTTCTCTAAAGAAGATTATCTAATTTGGTTTTGGCTGATTTAGAAAGTCAAGCATTTAGAAAATATTTGAGTGAGACGATTATTGATCAATGGGACAAAAAGTTGTGGTTTCTTCATCAAATTCAAGGAAACTAGTTTATCTGTACGATAGCCGCTACTACCATCATGCAACTTTAAACTTTATGTACAGACTCTGTAATCGAATTAATAAAAGCGTAACTCAATGAAGTATAGTACCTAAGGGTGTTTATTGTCTCAAAATCAGTAATGCTATCGGGTTCAGTTAGGAGAACTATAACCGTTACCTGAAGTCTTAGAGTCAATGTAGATTGCAATACTGATATAATGGCCATCAGATTTCTTGGATTTTAATATGTATTAGCGGTGAAAGGCTACAAGAGAAAAGTCAAGGGACCAGTATTCGAAGCTAGTACACTTAAGTTGTTATGAGGCGTTATATAATCATCTTTAGTTGTTAGATTTCATAGTCGTAGGGTTATTTTCAGCAAACCTGTTTTTTCTCCAAATTTTTAGATTATAACCTATTTAGGAAGGTATTCATGATAAAATCCCATTCAGATTTCGCGACATTAACCCATTTCGTACTAATGTACTACTTTTGTCTCTTCACCACCTCACGTAAGCTTAAAAATAATGGGGACTGTTGATACATACCTTTTGTTGCCTTGACCTGAGATCGACCACACTTGAACTAGATAAAAAGAGTCGTATGGTTCCCCCACTAAACTTCCTGTTTGTTCAGCTTTTTAGTATCGCTAGAAATTCGTTATTCAAGTACCTATATTCGCAGCGACCCGTACACATGCATTTGTTCCAGTACAGGTTACGGGTTAGATCGCTGACTTTCCAGTAAAATTATTCTGGCTCTGTTGTTGTTGGTAGCTTCATTGCTTTATCACTGTAATTTTAGCCACTAAGTTTTGGGTTTAGATATCGCTCCACTTACGTCAGTTTCATTCACTGGATAATATCATCATTCTTTACTCAAGAAGTATGGTGCGTACCATGATACATGCGCAGTGTGTCGTAGGTAACTGAGTTCTAGTTAAAGGTAACTATCTGGTTGAGTAGTTGATATATAGTTAGTTTACGAAAGTGTATGTCTTTAGCTGATGTTTGTGCATCTGAGGTCATAATGTGGTAGGTGAAAAACAGTTAGGGAAACTCACATATCTTTCGAACAGTATAATGAAATAGTGCAACGCAATGATCCTCCCCAAATTTTTACAGTAGGCTGTGGGTAACGTTTGCTGTGAACGATTATAAAACTACCGTGATGTCAAGGTAAAAGTAGGTGAGGAGGGATTTGAACCTTTAAACCATCACTTGTAGTTGAGTGCATGGTCTGATAAACCACATCTCTATATCTTTTAAGTGGTGGATAGCATTACCAAACTAGTAAATTAAAATAACTGAGAGAATTAATGAAATGACAGATCAGACACGTCTGTTGGATGGTAGCTGTCATCCTAATGTAATTTGTCCACACTTTGGTGAGAGTAGAAGAGTGAATTCATGCGGTAGGATGAGAGGAGTTTAGCGAAACTAAGGTGTGCCCTTCTGTGATTAGCAAACCAGATATACTGCCTTCTAATTTGGTGGAGATGAGGCTGGAAAAGGTTATCCACAAAAGTCGTATATCCTGATTTTTCTGATGACAGTTCGTAGCTGACAGTAACATTTTCCTACAGGTTAATCTTCACAAATTCTATCACTTCCGACAAGCCGCTTGTAACGAGGCTCCAGCAAATTTTCCGTGAAGTAGTTATATTTTTATTTTAAGTACTCTGAGAAATTCGATTGGACATCACGGGGAGCCAGGAAGTGACAGCCATCCACATACTTCCGTCAGCATACAAAAATTATCATCTGTTTTGTTCATTTCTAATTCTCTTTGAAGTTCACAAATTCCATCTGTTGATACAATCTCCCATACAGTTTGTCCCAATTTCCTTCAACTGTGCAACCATTGTTAACGAATTTAGACAGAAATTTCAACTTCCTCGATGGAGCTCTCAAACTCCAGACAACATTATTAGTTAATCAAGATTATCAAATCTCACACTGCAGATGCATATTGTGTCTTTTCAAAACATATACAAGACTTAGCCCTCACCTACTAAATATAACTAATCTGCGCACTTCAGTCTATGCGAATCAGAAGATTTCATTGTAGTGTAAGAGTAGCAGAAGGCTCTGAATTAAGGACACTTCTAGATGTATCTCACAGGCGTAGTCGTGTATGTTTTTTCTCCAGTTGATGGGGATTCTAAAGATAGGCGTTCACCTATGCTAACTCTAAGCGAGTCTAGGGCAGAGTAAGGGATTCGCATTTTCAGAAGTTATCCAGTTTGATTCAAGAAGCGAAGCGTATAAATATAGTCGTATTAACAGGAGATTTTAATACTCAAGTAAGAAATCAAAACCAAAGAGAAAAATAGATCTATCTATCTGAGATGTTTTGTGCCGACTGCCTTATCAAGATAACCACCCGGTCATGACAAATCAGGGCGGGAAACAATGCGCTTGGCAAACTGTTTTATACTCAGTCGAATAAGCAAGTGATGTCTAAAGGGCAATCTGCCCCATAAATGAGAAGTCATCCAAAGCTGATAAAAGTTTTGTTTACATGGTTTTTACTTCAATAACCTGAAGAATTAATACAATTTTCTCTCAGTGTGCACACTGTCAGACTCACTTATACTTATTGTCCTGTAAAGATTATTTCCTTGCAGATTTAACTGTTTTCTGTTCTCAATAATATTCTGTATATCTTATGACTGGTTACATTTTGCTTATTGAAAGTAGGTGCTTCTTTATTCACTAACTAATAATTTGTATAACGTGTTATTTATATTTATAAATTTCAATGCAGTAATGGTGTTTTTACTGAAACCTGTTAATTATTTACTATCCACCACTTATGTGAATTTTGAATACACAATTTGTACGACATAAATTGTGATTGATTTCGTTCTGCAGATGCGTATGAAAGCTCTTGTTAGCGGTGGAAAAACAATCAGCACTGAAGTAATCTCACTGAATGTAAAAGGTCCAGGACTTCAGAGAATGGTTCTTGTCGATTTGCCTGGGATCATATCTACTGTGACTGCTGGCATGCAATCAGGTACCCGTGAAACTATACAGGATGTTGCACGACAGTATATGAATAATCCAAATGCAATAATATTGTGTGTCCAAGGTGAGTTTCTTCCTCATCATTTAGCCTCCATGCAAACTTTAAAGTTACTTTATGTAGGTTTTTCATTTATTTATGCTGCATGATTTCCTGTTATACCTTCATGTTATGCTTGAGCAAAAAGTGGCTGAACCGACGCGTGTGTTCTGTGCGCTTTTATTTAGATGACAAGTGACAAAATATAGCTCACTGTGTTCGAATTCGTGTATTAGCTTCAGTCGTATTTAGAGTATAAGCACGTGGAGTGATAATCGAACATTCTAAATCAAACAGATGAAAAGCATTTCATGACCAGTAGGGTGCAGCAGGTCGGGTGTGAGGACAAATACTCGGCGAAGATATTGGCTAGGGGTCGTGCTATGTCGTGAATTGGCAGAAGTTAGAATTCATGGGCCATTGGATCGGGTCCCAGTGGCTAAATGGTATATGAGCTCGCCTTGCAACCAGAAGGTCCTGGGTTCGAGTCCCGGTGGGTGCGTACTGATGAACAGTTTCAAACTAGGCTGACGAAACAGCTGTCCAGTACTCCCAGGTTTTCCAATGGTTCTCTTACTAATGTCAGCTCATAATGAAAATCCTGTGACCAATCAAATCCCTACAAACCAACACTTGAAAAGCATTTCAATTTGCAACTCAACTAAGAAATAATACTGATTGGTTTCGTCGCACTAAATTAATCTCCTCTGACCTTAACAATCTAATTAAGACACTGTTTTCATTATGAAACTTATATAAGACACCACTGAAGATGACTTAGAATTATTTACTCTGCTTTATTCTTGTACATAATCTTTTCGCTTTGTCTATCTTTCCCTGTCTGTTCACTACACAAGATGGAAGTATCGATGCAGAGCGTAGCAATGTGACAGATTTAGTCTCTTCTGTAGATCCATCAGGCAAACGGACAATATTTGTTTTAACAAAAGTAGACCTGGCCGAATCCAATATGCATAATCCTGATCGAGTGAGTTATTATTTCATATTCCAGTTTTATTTCCTCTTTACTAGATCAGACAGATATTAGAAGGGAAATTATTCCCAATGAAAGCACTCGGCTACTTTGCTGTAGTTACTGGAAAGGGTATGTTTTCTGCTTTCTTTTTTATCTCTCAATATCAACACTGTTCATCTTGTGTTGTTCAGGTAAAAAAGACGAAAGTATAGAAAGCATTAAAGAATATGAAGAGAATTTCTTCCGTCATTCTCGTTTATTCAAAGAGGGGACACTGCGTATGTCTCAGATGACAACAGCCAATCTTAGTAAGGCTGTATCAGAAAGATTTTGGAAAATGGTAAGAGATTCAGTAGAACAACAAGCTGATACTTACAGAGGTGAGTAAAAATAGTTTTGCATAAAGTATACTATTTGTACGGTAGAATGATAATTATTTGGTTTTCTATAAAGATTTTTCATTTTCAAGTATTGGTTTTGTAGGAATTTTGTTTGATTGCATGGAGGATTTGGAGCAGGATTTTAGGGACCATTGGATCAGGTCCCAGTGGCTCAATGGTCTACGAGCTCGCTTTGCAACCAGAAGGTCCTGGGTTCGAATCACGGCGGGTGCGTACTGATGAAGAGCCCCAAAATAGGACGAAACAGCTGTCCAGTACTCCCAGCTTGTTTTCCAGTGGTTCTCTAACTGATGTGAGCTCATGATGAAATCCTCCATGCGATATTTCATTTGTTTATGAATAATTCATTGTTTTGATAAAGAAATTGATTTTAGTCAGACTCATTAAGTCGTATGATAAATCTCTGTGATTAGATATCGAATATCTGTTGAGGGTGAACAGTTTTCAAAGTTCATTACTTCTTAGTTTGTGTTGCACAGTAGTTCACCTGTTTAAGTCGTTACAAAAGATATGCCTTTTTGCTTGCGAGCAGTGTAATTACTAGTGCTCGAGCACACTTTGGTATGAGGTTGGTACTCCATCAAGTTAAATTAGTTGACAGAGGTTTTGCAAAATATTTTCAGCTTTATCTTGATAAACTGATGTATAATTAGTGAGTAGTTATGTTTCCACTACTTTGAGATTTTTGTTACATATGTTGAAAAAGTCAAAGATATTATTGTCTGCTCTTCTCATTGGCGGCACAGTGGTTAGGACTCTCGCCAACCATGCACATAGTCCGGGGTTTGATCCCCTACCGACGCAAACCTGACATCTACGGCCGGCCTGCTAAAATTGGGCTACCGATATCACATACTGAAAATTCTATACCTGTACCAAAAAATACGGTGTGGAATCAAGCTATAATAATTAAAAAAAGTTATTGGATTGTTATTTGTCGAAAAGTACCATTGTTGACACTATTCAGCTCTATTCATATTGATTGAAGTAAACGTAGCTAACGCTATTTTATCTGTTTTCAGAAATGGTATGGATATTCTTGGATGTCATAATTTTCAATATCCAGTTTCCATGGTGACCATTGATACGTCTCATAACGTAGTTAAGATTCATCTTTATGGTTTATAAATAAATTAAGTATTTCTCCCAATTAAAATGAAATGTTATTCAATCAAAACATGCATTTACACGCTCCCAAGGTTGAGACACAACTTTTGCATAAGGTTTAGCGGCACTTTCTAAATCCACAGACCTGAAATACATAAGGGCGAGGGAATTCGAATCTGCTACAAGATGGTTAAAAGTTTAAGTGTCTAAACCCGATGAGCCACAGCTCCACTGAGATTTAGAGAATACATTTTATCATTATAAAAGGACGTTTGGATTGAGAGAAGATACTCAAGAGTTGAATTACGATGTTTCTGATAACCTTTACAAAACATATTGATTAGAAATTCCCCTAGATATCACGGTCGTCAGGAAATATCAGTAAATTTGAAGACCTAAGTATGTTGAAAACCGATGACATTTTAGTCGTCATCATCATTAAGTTGTAACAACTAACTAATCAGAAACTTGGCGGGTCACAAAGAATATTTCCAACAGGTTGTAGACCTTTATCAACAGCTGCCTTCGTTCTATACTGAAGATCAGATGGCCGGAAAGAATCACCAACAAGAAACTATGGCAACAAACAAACGAAACAAGAACCAATCGCCCAACAAATATGCAGGAGAAAGTGGAGATGGATTGGACACTCGCTGAGGAAGCCGTTGGGTGACATCGCGCGTCAGGCCATGGCTCGAGTGGAACCCGAAAGGGAAGCGGTGAGTGGGACGTCCAAGGGTGACATGGAGGAGATCGTGTGAAGAGGAGTTGAAACAGTATGGACTAACATGGATGCAGGTGGAAAGCACAGCAGAAGACAGAAGCAAGTGGAGACGTGTAGTTGAAGCCCTATGTTCCAATAGGAACCCAAGGGAACAATAATAATAGTAATCAAATGGAAGACGATCATGACAATGGATGGAAACAAACGAACCAGTCACTGAGAACATAGTTCTTGTCGGTGGCACAGTGGTTAGGACTCTCGCCGACCGTGCACATGGTCCGGGGTTCGATCCCCTGCCGACGCACACCCGATAACTATGGTCGGCCTGGAAAATTTGGGCTGCCGATATCCATGCTGAAAATGCCATACTTGTACTGAAAATACGGTGTGGCATCAAGCTGTAACCAAAAAAATAAATAATAAAAATATTCGAAATAGATATTTAAAAACTAACAGGAGGAATAAAGAGAAAGTCAAAGGACTGAATGTTAATAAATTGACATAAATGCTCATAAGATAACCACTATGTCTAACTCCTATCCATCCTCATGGGAAAGAGTGAATAGAATGTTATTGTAACAGGATTGTATATTGTACATACTAAACTACAAATATTCATCATTTTGAAGCCAATTATTACATGATTATTTTTCCGTTTATTCACACTAATTTAGCGGATATAACCTTCCTATTTCACACTGAAACTTCTCAAAGCTTATTATATCACTATATGTCCTTATTATTCATAATAATTTAATGTGATACAACACAACGTTTGATAATGGAAAGTGTTTCTGTTTAATCAAACTCATTTACTTAAATATTTATGATAGTTCATACAGTGTACAATGAGTGTTCAGCGTAAGCTTTAGAACATTCAATTTAGCTCAAACGTATATTTTCTATTGATTTTCAGCACTATACACGTGCTTTTTAATAATCAATATACTTATCGGCAACTAGAAGAAATCAAATGTGGTACATATTTGAACCGTTACAAAGACTTGTGACGCGCGAAATCATATGCTGTACGGAAAATAAAATTATGCATAATAATATATACTACTGATTGATATGAGTAGTTGGAAACCGCTTATGTAAACCAGTAGGAACTAGCAGTCAGATCGAAGCGATCTAAACACCGGACGGCTATTTAACTCATTTTGAGGAGAACTGATCAGCGATGTACTCAGTCTGACTTGGCCCAGAATAGAATTAGTTCAAACCACCTTAATTCTGGCTAACTATTTAGGCGAATTGGTGATACATGAATTCAAATTCCCAGATAAGAGATCTCATAAATAAACTTGATAAGACTCTCTTTACATTGATTAAGAACCGAAAGTAGCTAATGGTAACCTTTGTAGTCCTAGTTGTTAACCGAGTTCTATGCTTTAAGATTTTAATTTGACCACAAGTATAAGAAACCGTCGTCATACAGTTTGTTTAATTCCAAGCTGAATAAAAACTTTTTCCCAGTGAGTAAATGGTATATTTCGTGACTTGACTATAAGCGGTTGAAGGCAATACATTTAGTGTCTTTCACGCGGTTATGAAAATAACCAACCAACCAACAACAACAGCAGCAACATCCAGCGCCAATCACCATCAACGGAAGGGATTTGAAAGAGGTTACTTCATTCACTCACTTGTCTAGGGAGCATTGTCTCAACTACAGGAGGAGTGGACGAGGATGTCAAATCGAGAATCGGGAAAGCGAGAAACACATTCATCAACCTGAAACCAATCTGGAAATCTTCGTCACTCAGCATCAACAACAAAATTCGGATTTTCAATACAAACGTCAAGTCAGTCAGTGCCTCTATATGGATCAGAAACTTGGCGGGTCACAAAGAATATTTCCAACAGCCTGTTGCAGACCTTTATCAACAACTGTCTTCGTTCTATACTCAAGATCAGATGGCCGGGAAGAATCACCAACAAGAAACTATGGGAAGAAACAAATCAAGAACCAATCGCTCAACAAATATGCAGGAGAAAGTGGAGATGGATTGGACACTCGCTGAGGAGGCCGCTGGGTGACATCGCGCGTCAGGCCATAGCTCGAGTGGAACCCGAAAGGGAAGCGGTGAGTGGGACGTCCAAGGGTGACATGGAGGAGATCGTGTGAAGAGGAGTTGAAACAGTATGGACTAACATGGATGCAGGTGAAAAGTACAGCAGAAGACAGAAACAAGTGGAGACGTGCAGTTGAAGCCCTATGTTCCACTAGGAACCCAAGGGAACAATAATAATAATAATACGCAGTCCTTTGGGAAATCTATTGCAGCCTACATAGTTTGCCAATAATGTCTGTAACTGCAAAAATATTTGCTTTTCGTTCTAATCTTTCAAAGAACGATAGATCCCTATTATCTACAGATATATTTTATTGTTGAGTGTCAATGAACACAAAGAGGATTATTGTTTCTCTTCTGTAATTATATAGTGTCAATCAGAGTTTCTCATTACTTTATAAAATAAAAGATACGAGAAAGCAATAGTCTGGTGCTCACTGGTTTTAATTTTAAGCGTTGTTTGATATTACCTAAAATGATTTGGCAATACTATCTCTCACTGAATGGCATAACTTGTGTACATCGACACATGTAAAAATTATATTCGTAAAATCTCAGCAAAATTGAAATGAGTAATTCCAACCTTTCGTTCGGCAAAGTGGTCCGAACTTCTTCAGGGGAATTAATCACAAATAAAATAACAATGGTATATACACAGGGAACACATCTTGTCTTTAGAAGCTTTGTCCAACCATAGGAGTCATGAACAGGCATCAAAATGTAATATACAAAATTGCATGAACTGTAATAAAGGTTTTTGTATTTCCCAATAAATGAAAAACAAAACGATATTGTCTTTACTGACGTTTCGCTATTTAATGCTGCTAATAGCTTTATCAAAGTATTATTAAACCGGAATTTACAAAATCTCTGCATATATATAACAAAGAGTTGAGGGGTGAGAAAATAGACTTAGGTCAAGTTAAAAGGACATATTGAAAGTCAAAATAACAATGAAGATCACTAAACCAAATATCAAAGGTAATTGTACATCTGTTATGATATCAGCATAAAGTTTACTAACTTGATCATCGTTATATATATATGCTGAGATTTTGTAAATTTCGGTTTAATAATACTTTGATAAAGCTATTATCATTCAATTGCCAAACGTCAGTAAAAACAATATCGTTTTGTTTTTCATTTATTGGGAAATACAAAAACCTTTATTATAATGAATATCATTTACCTAATGCCCAAATTTTTTCAAATTGTTAAAAGTGAACTTGGTTTGGACATATATTGCATGAACTGTGATCAAAATTTGACCTCAGACCTACAAATATTAGTCTACTTTTGTTAAACACTGTAAAGTGCGTCGGTGGCACAGTGGTTAGGACTCTCGCCGACCATGCACATGGTCCGGGGTTCGATCCCCTGCCGGCGCACACCCGATATCTATGGTATGCCTGAATTTGGGCAACCGATATCCATGCTGAAAATTCCATACTTGTACTGAAAATACGGTGTGGCATCAAGCTGTAATCAAAATAAATAAAAAATAAAAAAGTGTGTACTTTTGCATCAGATTTTTAGTGATTACGTTCGACTAAAGTTCATGGTCGTAGATAACTAAGTAGGAAAAATATACATGTATATGCGGTAACAATTGTAAATCGTTTGTTGTCCTCTCCATAAAAAGCTATAGACAATCGGGAATTTAGACCAAGTATGGTTTATTAATGATACATAACTGACTGTTAGTGTCTGTTGTAATTCTATACGATTGTACAGATATGAAAATGAAATCGTCGTCAAGAGAATTTTCTTCGCTGAATTCTTTGTTTTTATGATACATATCCATTTTTATTTATTAATCAGGACTTGTCATGTATCAGCTAACATCACATCTTCACACGTGTTCAATCTTTTAGGATTCATATAACTATAAAACTTGGGCAATGTAGTAGAGCATAACTCCATTGTGGATAAGATTTTATTTTGATAAATCACACAGTGTTGTACACTAATATTAACTGATGACGTTTCGAGGACCGTGAACAGTGGTGGTTGGCAAAGGCGAAGGAGATGGAAAAAGCATCGGCGATAGGCAACACTAGGCAACTCTTTAGACTCATCAGGGAAACGGGTGGGAGAAGGCAAATCATAAGTGAGACTATTTGTGAGAAAAATGGCTCCTTAATTAGCTCTCAGGATAGACGCCTTGAACGCTGGAAAGAACACTTCGAGGAACAGTTTAACTTGCCTACAGCCACACTGAGCCTCTCCGCCATCCAGCACACACCCGAATGGGACATAGACACTGGCCCGCCGTCTGTAAGTGAGGTCACAAAAGCTATCTGTAATTTGAAACGAGGCAAAGCGGCAGGACCCGACGGAATTATTCCGGAGGTGTTTAAATATGGGGGTGACATGCTAGTATATAGTTTAACTAAGGTACAAGGTAACGTCTGGGAATCAGAGACGGTTCCATCAGACTGGGGTAAGTCACTTATCATACCAGTATTCAAGAAGGGAGATAAGTCCTCATGTGATAATCATAGAGGAATCAGCCTAACGAACATAGTCTCTAAAATCCTAGGCTCAGTAATCATGAACAGACTAAACCGAACTCGGGAGGAACAAACGAGGGAAAATCAAGCGGGCTTTAGGCCAGGTAGAGGGTGCATAGATCATATCTTCACTCTCCGACAGATCCTAGAACATAGGCACACTTTTAGGCGTCCAACAATTGCCATATTTCTTGACTTGAAGGCGGCCTTCGACTCCGTGGATCGAGAGGTTCTATGGCAATGTTTGACTATGAAGGGAGTGCCAAGAAAGTACATTGCACTAATCAAGGCACTCTACTCAAACTCACGTAGCTGTGTAAGGGCTTATGGGGAATTGTCATCTGAATTGATAACAACCAGTGGTGTCCGTCAAGGATGTCCACTTTCCCCTTTTCTGTTTAACTTCATCATAGATATGCTAATGGAAGTATCCTTAACCGAACGTAACGACTTCGGAATCGACTTGTTACCAGGGAATAGTCTTATAGACTTAGAATACGCAGACGACATAGTCCTGTTAGGGGAGGACGCTGACAAAATGCAGAGTCTTCTGAACACCTTGAGCAGCAATCTTCGTATGTTTGGCATGCGATTCGCCCCTGTGAAATGTAAGATGCTGCTACAGGACTGGACTACGTCAACTCCTAGCTTAGTGATAGGGAGTGAAGTGATAGAACATGTTGACCACTTCACCTATTTAGGAAGTTGTATCAGCACCAACGGATTGATTGGTGACGAAATCACAGCACGGATCCAGAAAGCTAGGGCTGCTTTCGCTAACTTACACCGTCTCTGGCGTAGGCGTGACATCCGACTGTCAACCAAGGGACGTGTATACTGCTCATCAGTTCGCTCCGTCCTTCTCTATGGCGGTGAGACGTGGCCATTGAGAGCGGAAGACATGAAGAGATTGTCTGTTTTTGACCACAGATGTTTACGATCTCTTTCTCGCGTTAGGTGGTATAATAAGGTAAGTAATGTTGACGTTAGGCGTAGAGTGTTGGGCAAAGAGGGAAAATCACTCGAAGAGGCTATAAAGTTGCATAGATTGAGATGGTTAGGTCACGTGCTGCGTATGCCTAACCATCGTCTCCCCCGACGGGCATTACTAGCTGATACAGGTTCAGGTTGGAAAAGAGTAAGTGGTGGCCAAACAAAAACATGGCATCAGTCCATGAACTCCTTGACAGCTAAACTGAGTCAGGTAGGGAGATGCAGACTTCCGGGTTGGGGCCCTCGGGACTCTAAGAATCAATGGCTGGAGACAATAGGTGACATGGCTCAAAATCGTTGTCAATGGCGCAGATGTATTCAGTCTCTGTTATCTTACATATTCCTTTCTACCATTACTCATTCTGTTTCACTCTTATACTTGTCAAAACTCTATTGATTCTCTTCACTCATTTTCTTGTCTAGCTTTGTGTGCTATTTGGAACGTGGCAACTCGAACTGCTGCACTTTGGTGCCAAGTTCTATGTTGAATCCAGACAGACAGACAGACAGATGACGTTTCGAGCATAAACTATTGTTCATAATCATATCAAGTTACACAACTTCTTTCCTTCATTTATATACATGTGTGGAATCGATTAGATATTGGGATAAAATTCAATATGAGATAATGTACATTCAGAAATAATAATACGAGTGTTATTAATGCATTACAATTAGATTGGAAAAAAGACGAGTGTTTCTACAATCATAATAAGTTACTTGTTAGAATATTTTGATGTGTTTGAATTGAAATAGAATTTTATGATTATTTATTATCCTCCCCTGATTTGACTGGTGGTAATGATACGAGTGTTATTGATCAATTGAAATTAGATGGGAAATAAAACGAGTGTTTTTATAGTCATAATAAATTACTTCTTAGAATGTTGTAATGTGCTCGAATGGAAATAGAATTTTAAGATTATTTATTATCCTCCTCTGATTTGACTGTTGGTAATAATATCTTCCATATTTCTGGTATTTGCATTGAGTCATTTCTGTTTTATGTGTTGGGTGTAGACTCAATGAACAAGGATTCCGTAACCAACTTCTCTTTCTACCTACCTATGTTACTCTTTAGAATTTTAACCCTCTCCCACCCTATTATGTGGTTGTTTGTTAATGCGTGAAGTGCAATAGCTGAGCTTTTTTCTAAATTATTTATTTTCTTGGGGTCAACCATTATTCCCTTAGCCAAATTCTTATGTTCTGATAATCTGACTACCCCCGACCTACTAGTCTGACCTATTCAGTTGTATTAACTCACTCCGTAGCATTACCTTCTGTTTGACGGCCAAGAATCCCTCTAAATGTAAATAACTTGGAGCGTAGACACAGTTCCAATGCTTTCATAATTTCATCTGAAATTACTTATTTTAATTTCTGTGAAATGTTACAAATAATTTTACATATGTCTACTTCTCACTCGGCGCCCAATTATTTTGGAACTATTCGGTCAAATCTTGATCATTGTTCATATGAATAATATACAGCGAGTTAAAGGTATCCCTGAAAAAAAACATAAAACTAAGTTCAGTGTTGTTACCACTAGGCACATTACTTGTGATTTGTCCTTGAGAATATGCAGACTAGTCGTTTGAAAAACATCTTAATTGTTTGTCATAAATGTTGAAGAGATTCATGATCAGAAAGGCCACCTGTAGAGATAGATTTTTAAGAACATTTGACCCTATTAAATTTTGATATTTTCATTCCCTTGAATTGCTCTCTTTTTTTTTCAATGAAATTTCTAGCTATCCGGTATAATCTTGAAACTGAATGGAAAAATTCTTTCCCTCATTTACGTGAAATGGATCGTGAAGAATTATTTGAAAAAGCGCGTAACAACATTTTAGATGATTTAATCTCGCTAAACGGTATCAGTTCAACAGTTTGGGAAAAAAGTATCCGCTCAGAATTATGGAATAAATTGAAAGACCATATATTCACTAAAATAATTGAACCTTCACAACATATTGATAATCTTGGGTAATTGGTTTGTATTTTAATGCTGTGATGAAAATGTTTTATGTGTTTTGGTTTTTATACAATGTGGATTTGTTGAAAGGAATCTGTGGCGTACTACCGCGTTTTTAAAGCTTACATGCCTGTTAAGATATAATAATAGATAGTGACGAAAGGTGAAATGAAAATTTATGTTTCGGTAGGATTCAGTCTAGTGGCCTATGATTTATCAGCCTGAGACTTTATCAACTTTAACCAATAAGTAAAACTTTTTTCACGAGTTGATCACAGACTGATATCGGTTAGAGAACCATTGAAAACCAGGGAGTACTGGACAGCTGCTGTTTCATCCTAGTTTGGGAATCATCGGCAGTACCCACCCACTGGGATTTGAACCCAGGACCTTCCGGTTACAAGGCAAGCTCGTATACCATTCAGCCACTGGGACCCGATTCAATGGCTCATGAATTCTAACTTCTACCAATTCAATGGTTCTCTAACCGATATCAGTCTGTGATCAACTCGTAAAACATAACTAATCCTTACAAACCAAACTATAGAAAACTTTTTTCAACTAAAAGTATTATTTGAAACAAACTTATCTAATCTAAAAGTGGTGCTATGAGCCTTGAATAATGCGTCTTTGAGTTTTAAGGAACAGAATTACCTTAAGGTCATTAAGACGTTTAGCCTATTGCTTCAGCTTATTTTCTTAGTTTACAAAGACAATCAATCTTTACCGAAATATCCTGACTTCCTTATCAGAAATGATTCTGCTGATGTCAGCTCGTGATGAAATCCTGCAACCAATAAAAAAATCCATACAAAACCAATTCTTGAAAGTTGATCTGATACTCATTAGCGACTGGCCCTATTCAGGCTGTTACCTGAGGTCCTAGTGGGAAGCAGGCTGAAGGTGAGGCAGTAACTCATCGAAGAAAACGTTGCGCTATATCGTGAATTGGTAGAAGTTAGAATTCATTGGCTGGCCGTTGGATCGGGTCCCAGTGACTTGATGGTATATGAGCTCGCCTTGTGACCAGAAGGTCCTGGATTCGAACCCTGGCAGTGGGTGTGTGGTGCTGAAGAGTCCCAAACTAGGCTGACGAAACAGCTGTCCAGTACTCCCTGCTGGTTTTCCAGTGGTTCTCTAACTGATGTCAGCTCATTATGAAATCCTCCAACCGTTTCTGCATAATTATATGACCAATGCAATTCAGTGACTACATAGAGATTTGTGGTTTATACAATGGACCACACATGTACTTTTTTTGAAGCCTTCTGTTATCTAATTTAGATTCGTTACCAGTTGCTCTCTAATCGAACCGGTGATCTGTTGGTTCACAGTCTCAACTTTTGTAAATAAGAATTGCTTGCTGTTGTTTGTCGAATTTGTCAGTTTTCAGCATAAAATGTTGCGTATTTTATTAGACAGGAGTTTTATTTGACACATTCACCTTTGACCTTCAATTATTGGCTACTTATAATATATTTACTTACTAGTTTTCATGCAAACGAACCGCTGATAATAATGATAAATTTTTATTTCTGGAACAGAAACCAGCCATTTTTACAGGCATGGACATATGTACACTAATTAGAACTTATAGAATACATAATATGATTTGTTAATCTAGAAATAGATTGAATACTGGTTAATAGATAATTTTTGAGATCTGATTTCGACCGAATACGTCATAAGATATAGCGTCAAATCCAAACTGTAATTGGAAAAACTACGGGATGTCAATTTCACGCGGGAATTATAAATGATTGCGTTAATTGTGGAAGGTAAGTAGCATTTTTATACAGGTGCTGAAGTGAAACATAAGAGATGCAGAATGAACAACAATAATTATAAGTGAATGATTCATAAAGTAATCGAAAGTCTATAAAACTTCAAAGTCACCGGTAAGTACACCATAATTGTGACATTTCCAGTTGTTTATCAGACCAACTTTGCACTTGTCAGCAGATTTCATGATAGAGGTGGTTCCGTTATTCACCAGGTGAGCTAGCAGTATTCCAAATAAGTAGAGGATAGCATCACTGTATCAGTGCAGTTCGTTGAAGGCAGCACCTTCGAAAAGAGAATTGTAAAGATTTACTTTTGTTTTTCATAAAATCATGTAACATTTGAATATCTCCCCCAAATATTTGGAAGCTAATTATTATTTGTCAGAAATATAATTTGTATTCAAAATTTCAGGGGAGTCATTTTCAGTTCGTATCTTTGTACTTTACTGTAGAACATTTCAAACAAACATTGATATATGGCTTCGTGAATGGGTTGAAAATGATCTACCAAAGGATTCAATAAAAGCTGGTTGGTTGACACTATATAATCAATTGGATAGTAAATTGAAAACAGTACAAAATGCACCAGGTCATGATCCACTATTTGATCCATTAAAAGAAGCTGTACATCAAGAGACTAGAAAACGTCACGATTGGGATCCTAAAGCAGAATCTAGATTAGTAGGTTTGCTTGTATTTTTGGTAGTTTCATTCTTATTTGAATTGGATTTGGAAATATTGATTATTATTTTGAAGCACAGTCATTTAGACTTTTATTATTCCATATTGCATATAACCATTACTTAACGCGCATGCCTTAAACTGTTTCGCAAGTTTTACTTAGGAAGAAAATGTAGTTTGATATTTAGTTTGCTTGTGAGTGAAATACATGATAGTTGTATCGAGAAACGATTCAGGTGGAATTTTTAAATTTTCGAAACCTTTTTTAGATAAAGCAATAAGAAGACGTAATTTGTCTGAATGGTGTAATGTATTTGCGCAACATCTTTTTTATTATTAAACCTTTCTATTAACATATTGAGCACAACACCTAGATACTTACAGGTTAATGGTTAACTTTTATTCAAGGCGGTCGTTCGCTGAATCATCTGAGAAGCATCTAGTAAGTCTTTAACTGTCTACTGCAGAAAAACCTCAGCAGATGTCTCAGCATCATGAATCAACTCTGTAAATGGAGGCCGTTGTCTGGAGCTAAAGTGTAGATTTTCTGATAATTTATTTACCTAGTTCATTGTATACTAATTTGACATTAATATACCCGTCACATTTAATTTTCCATTGGAGGATGTGGGCTTCCCGAAAACGTATTTCGTTGAAAACGTCCCTATCTTAAAGACTACAGTCTGTGGAATTTCTGGTGAAACTGTTGTAATCTCAGTTATATTAATAGAGGTATATTTGGAAAAATGCTTTGTTTAAGTTACTGATGGTGTGGATTTTATTTTGCCTACATTTTTAGCGTGTTATACAATCCAATGCATTAGATGATCATACTGTGCATACTAAAGCTCAGTGGACTGCGGCAGTGGATCTTTTTGAGCAAGCAGTTAAGGATAGACTAAAAGACGGTAAATTTCATGAGATTCTTTATTATCCGTTGATCTGTACAATTTCATTTTTCATGGCCAAGTTAAACTTCTTTAAGCACCAGTAAGTAAGTACCTGAGGAGTGCGACCGCACCAATCAATGACTTTGAAACGCTCAGTGAGCAAGTTAGTGAAACCTGGTAAATAACATCGTAATCATAAATAAAATATGCTTAATGAAGTGTTATATTACTAAATGGGATATCTGCCAAGTTCCAGGTTAGGTTTGGGAAACATTACGCTAAGGTTTAGGCTAGGGACAGGTTAGGGTTAGGTTAATCTAATCGGGGCAAAATATGGGTTGGTTCGAGTTTGACTTGGGTTAGTTTATAGATATTTTCACGTTAGGGTTAGGTTAAGAAAAGACTAGGGTTATTGTTATGATTAGAAGACTTAGGTAATTATGTGCGTAAAAATGTTGTCAAATTACTCTGTTGAAACTTCAGTCCAAAAAATGGAAGGTGCTTTTGTCACACCTCAAGGAAAGATATCCTGTGTAACAGTTGCATGCTTTTTAATTCATTATTTTCACTATTAAATGTATTTTGTTCGCAAAAATCTTCTTTATCATGTGGTTGGTGCGTTCAACTTTGCCCTAATGTCACCTAACGTCAGATGTTTGTAGTGATTTTCGTATATTTAAGAGAGTTTTTCATTGACTTATTTTCTGTTTAGATTCATGAGGTACTCTTCAAATAGAAACGAATGAAACAACACTCTAAATCGCTTAAGATGTACAGGCTTGCACACTAGGCTGTGAATGACATCATTTGCTTGAGAGTATACATGGTTAAATATTTGGACAGAATTAAAATTCATAGACCATCGTTTGGAAATCAGATAACAGAGGCAGTTGGTCACGTAATTATTACGAGTGATATTGGGAGATTATCTTGCACAGTTAGTTTCCGTTGAAACTTTGTAATGCACAACTGCGTATAGTACTTGGGTTATTCTAGATGAAGTAGCCTAGTCATCCGGCTATTAGGTAACAGCGTAATATATATCTTTTTCAGACACATTTATTATCTCTTCCATTGGGGTTCATTGTCAGGTTATTTTTTTGTATGTGATCTCTATGCGCGTCGTTGGCACAGCGGTAGAATGCTCGCTGACCACGAATGTGGTTCGGGGTTCGATCCCCGGTCGGCGCACTCCTAAACCTTGCTAAGCCAGTAATAAGACTGATAAAGAGAGAAGGTTGGGCATGAGGCTAGCAACCGCATCCAGTAAAAATAAACACCACTGCTACAGAAACCTCAGGACTCTAGCTTGAAGCCCTATGTTCCACTGGGAGCGTAAAGGAATATAAAAAAGTGTGATCTCTATCTCGTTCGCTACGATGACATTCCTCACAAAAAACTTTCGATTTGTTAATTAGATGTGCGTTTGACAACACTCAGAAAAAATAAATTTTTATATCCCTTCAACACTCATGTTCATTTTTTCATCTTTTTTCCCACCTGTTAATTATTGCTGACATGTTATATTTTATATTTTTAAAGTGAACCAGTCAATCGCTGCAAATTTTGGTCCAGGATGGTTGGAACAGTGGACCCATTGGAAAAGGCGTACTCCAGAAGAACAAGCTCGTCTGCAAACTGCTAAAGAAATTGAAAATTTACTCATCTCACTTCCAGTACGTTTAACTTACTGTATCATTTTTCCCAATATGATTGGTTTGAATTCCTATTGAATCTTGATTTGATTTTCACATGAGATATGCAGACATTTTTGTCCGAGCTATGTTTAGTTTTGTTTTAATTCCTTTACGTCCCCAGTGGAACATAGGGCTTCAAGCTAGAGGCTTGAAGTTTCGGTAGAAGTGGTGATTATTTTTACGGGATAGGGTTGTTAGCCTCGTGCCCAACCTTTTCTCTTTACCAGTCTTATTACTGGCTTAGCGACGTTTAGGAGTGCGATGACTGGGAGTCGAGCCCCGGACCACTTGCACGGTTGGCGAGCATTCTACCGCTGTATTTAGTTACCTAGTATAAAATCCATAATAATCATATATCTCAGCTTTCTTATTTCATGCATATGGGTTTATTCTAATACATGGTTTGTTTACCTGTTATTACCTGTGTGTCATAAGTTCCTGCTCTGGGATAAACTTGTACATGAACGAATATCACTCAGTAGAAATACAAAATGTTTGGACTTATTCAAAATTATATTCATAAAATCAAATTATGCTTTATTTCAAATTATTCTGTTCTCTTGTTTTTTCACGGTCACTTGAGTTTCGAAAAAAAAAATGGTGTACTCTTTTACTTTTCATTTATAGAAACCGACTGCGCATATTACACCGGACGATCTGACAACTGTTAGACGCAATTTACAAGCTCGTAAAGTGCCTGTGACAGATAAAATGGTGAGTGTTTTAGTGAAGTTAGAAACCTTTAGTCATTACATACTTCTCCACAGTACATTTTGACCAGCGGGTTCAAACGCCTCCGTCACGTTGTAAATATAGAAAGTGTTAGTCACTGGTAAGTATGTCTGTGTTCTCGAACCTGTCAAAGCGTTAAAATATGATCAATGCACCCCTGTTCGGACTGAAATCTACCTGATTTTCCCAAGGTCTCTAGTAAGCAATCATTTTCATATGACAGGTTATTGTGCCAGAAAACTGCTTTTGGGTGGTTTGATTGAAGTTTTGATGAATGTGTTCATAAGTGGACTGCGTCAGCTTTACGTTGAGAAATATTTTTTTTCAGCCAACCTTTTGATCACTAAACTGTTAAGTATACAGACAATGATTAACAATACATCATTGCTGCAACTCTTTTAATCCTTCATTTTGTTTTGTAGTTGGTTGGGATAAAGCTGAACATATAGTCCAGTGTAGTAGATTCATGTACATTTTATTTTTATTTAAATTGTTAAGCCCTAATTTATCTTTATTTATTTTACTTTCCTTTGCTGTTGTTGTTGGCCTGTTGAAGTTACACGATTCTGTAACTCCACGTTGTTTATATACATCTGATTTTCGCTTCTTTAACTACACAGAATATACTTAAGAAATAACTGTAGTAATTATATACAATACATATACTATACATGTATTTAAATATTAATCATTTACATATTCGTGTGTTTTTACTGTGCCATCTTACTAGGTTGAGTTGTAGTTCAGTGATCAAGCTATTTAAGTCTTAATAGCCAAATTACCTGCTTTATATCTTCACCTTTTACAAAAGTTTGAACAATCTTTCTGGCAGTAGGTGTGGTTTAATGGAGTGTTGTGGTTCATTGGTCTTGGTTTTAGACTTTCAACCAGTGGGTCACGGGTTCGAACCCTTGTTTATTTACCTAGGTTTAGGCAGTCAAGTAGTACCACTAGCTCTTCGTATAATAAGTGTGGCTTATAGTCAACTGCATAGAATTGCAAGTGGTTTTTGTGTAAGCCAGGGCTGTTAGATGGAAGCTAAGTATGTAAGCCGGTTAGCCAAATCTACGTTTTAAAACACTGTTCCACAAATCTATAAATTAAACTTTATTCAAATTATTTATTTTTTAAAATATTTATGTAAATGTCAACAACTCTCGGAGTCTCTTCGTTATTCTTTACCTTTGAATTTTTTTTACTTATAGATTAATGAAATCTGGGAGCCTTTAGTGAGACGTTTGTATCTTGAACGATCACTGTACACTTGTCAAGAATGTCGTAAAGGCTTTTACTATTATCAACATGGCTTTTTAAATACCTCTTCATTTGATAAAACTAATTCAAATATGTATTCCTCTGATATGACTGAACGAAATTCGAATGTTGTTGAACAATACAGTGCAGATAAGGCTATTTTATCATCTGAATTCCCAGATTGTCGTGAAGTGATATTTTTCTCTCGATTAATTCGTATGATAGATGCAACTAGTAATGCACTTAGACAACAAATAATGAATGATGAAGGTACATTTTTTTACTTTTAATCTTAGTATAATAGAAATAATTTTTTGACCAATAACCATTTGGAATTGGCTAGATTTTTTAGCTTATATCACTTTTTTTTATCAAAACAACCTTGGATTATTTTTTATATTTTAGTAGTGTCTTAATACGAAGCGACTTTTTCAACTGCATTTAACAGATTCTCTCAGCAGAAGCATATCAATGGGGATGCAGATTCGAATCTCAGAGGGGAGATGAGTTCCTTCAAAGTTGCAGATACACCTTGCTGATGAGTGGCAATAGGCTCGAAATGTAGGTCCAGGGCTTTCAGCTTATTACTTCCAACTATATGACATCAATTCAGAGTGCACCGCGATGGTGAGCCATCTAGTCTCGTGACTGCATTCCTAAATTGACTGATAGAATTCAGTCTTCACCAAACGAAGGAATAGACGCACGACATTCTCTACTGTGTTGTTACTTCTGAACAGTGTGTATCAGGGTGTTGTGGATTTCAAACACCCCGTTACAGTTACAGTTGCAATGAGTCATTTTCTTCTTACATAAATGTTTGAATTTTCACAGACCATTTTGATACGCTTTTCATTTCAGTTTTTGGTTAACTGTATGATGTATTAAGCCTTCATATAGTAAATGCCTCATTATGTACTACATAAAACAGTTCGTGCTGCTAAGGTATCAGAAGTGAAAGTGGCATATTTATCTCTTTTCCACATTCTGAAGAATATGTATCTTAACCAAACTTGGGTAATAGGAAACTAGGCTGTTTGTCAACTTAATGGATGCGAAGCATTAAGTTCTTTTTCTTGGAACCTTGATACCCATCTGCGTTTATTTCACCGTTAGTCTGTAGGAGTTATCTGTTATTATTATTAATGTTGTATCCTTTAATTGCTCGAGGAACATAGGGCTTCAGCCGTGCGTCTCCACTGCGTTCGGTTCTCTGCGAGAGTCTTCACCTGGGTCCAAGTCCGCTTTCATCTCCTCTTCACATGACCTCCTCCAAGTCACCCTTGCACTGACGACCAACTCGCCGCTTCCCTTTCGGGTTCCACTCGAGCAATGGCTTGTCTAGTGATGTCACTTGATGGTTTCCTCAGAGTATGGCCAATCCACCTCCATTTCTTTCTGCTTATTTGTTTCACAATCGGTTCCTGGTCGGTTCGCTCCCAGAGATCTCTGTTGCTGATGTATTCTGGCCGGCCATCTGATCTTGAGTATTGAGCGAAGACAACTGTTAATGAAGGTCTGTAGATTGTTTGAGGTGCTCTTTATGACGCGCCAAGTCTCTGATCCGAATAGTAGCACTTACTTCACATTGGAGTTGAAAATCCGGATCTTATTTTCATTTTCATGCTGAGTGTTGTTGACCCTCGCACAGACTTGAGAGTACTGAAAGCTTGTCTTGCTTTTCCGACTCTTGCTTTGATATCCTCGTCAGTTCCGCCTGTAGTTGAAACGATGCTTCCCAGGTAGGTAAAGGAGGTTGTTTCTTTCAGGTTCCTCCCATTTATGCTGATTGTTGTCAGTTGTTGTTGTTGCTGTTGATGGTGTTGCCCAGGAATTTTCATCACCTCTGTTTTATCTATGTTCATCTGAAGTCCTATCTTTGATGCTTCTTCTTCCAACTTGTTGCTTTTCGCTTGCATATCTTCCAGTTTGTGGGAAATCAGACATATATCATTGGCGAAGTCCAGATCCTCCAAGTTTTTTGTGTGAGTCCATTTTATGCCTGTTTCCTCATTACCCGCTGTTTGTCGCATTATCCAATCTACTGCAATCAGGATAATCATTAGCGATAGTAGGCAGCCTTGTCTTACTCCTGTCCTCACTTCGAAGGATTCCGTAAGTTTCCCGTTGTGGATTACTTGGCATGCAGCATTGTCGTACAGCTGTTGGATGAGATGTATAATTATCGGTGGCACCCCGTAGCAGAGAAGTAGTTTCGAAATCACCTCTCGATCGAGTTATTTGTTATACTAAGTTCTTATTTATAGAATATTTGTAAAATAAAATTCCAGCAGTCAAGTTTTATGGTACTATAAATTGAAACTTTATTATATGAATGAATGTAAGGTGGAAATCCATCTATGCTGCCCTTCGAGGTGTGGAAATGTTTCTAGATTTAAAATAATTTTATGCATATGAGTTAACTTTAATATGGGAGTAACTCGCTGACAGATGACATCGGACAGCCGTGATGCTAAATCATAAATGAGTGGTACTTGATCCTCACTAAGGGTTTTCCTAGTAACATTCCCTCTTGGTGACTTGGTGGTTTTGGACTTGCTTCCCCGCTGAGCTTTAGTTTTTTATAGATAGAGTCTTGAAGTGAAACAGAACAGCTGTTCAATACTGCCTGGTTTACTCTAATCTGTGCAAGTTCGTGACACAGTCTACCCTGAAATCAATTAAATTTTCATTAATCACTCATGAATAGCTTTGGGATTCACGATAAGGTTCGACGAGTCTGTTTTCAGTTCAGTTATTCTTCTACATGTTAGCTAACTTTTAGATGATTGGTACTTCAAGTTTCAAAACCTGAATGTGATAAATCGAAGTGTTATTAAAACACAGGGGTTTACGTGATGCTACTGAGAATCTAAATACAGTAGTGTGGAACTAGTTTGTGAAATGTATTTATTATTGGATCGGTCACACTGTATGTTCACTTTTACCTAAACTTTGCTAAGTGTGAAATAAGAGTCGAAATTAGGCTCACGCAGTCAAGTGCCTATGGCAAGTGAATTACACTACGTTGACAACTGTGTGTGCGTCGGTGGCACAACGGTTGACTGACTGACTGGTTTCAACATACAACTTTGCACCGATGTGCAGCAGTTCGAGTTGCCACACTCCATGTAGCACATAAAGCAAATGAAGAAAGTAGAAGAAATGCAAAATAGAGACAGTAAACAGAGATATAAGGCAAAAAGAATAGTAATATCGGAGAACAATAAAGTTCTATTGGGTATTATAAATCACAAGGAGTGGATGCATCTGCGCTATTGAGAACGATTTTGAGCCATATCAACAGTAGTCTCCAGCCATCGGTTTTTAGCATCCTGAAGACCACAACCAGGAAGTCTACACCTCTCTACGTGGCTGGCTCAAACTAACTGGTGTGGATTTCATTGACTGATGAGTCCATGGTTTGGTTTGACCACCACTCACTTTTCCAACGTGGTCCTATGTCAGCTAACAATGCTCGTCGAGGGAGGCGATGGCTAGGCACAGAGTTTATAACGCTCGCCGACCGTGCACATGGTCCGGGGTTCGATCCCCTGCCGAAGCACACCTGATATCAGTGATTCGCCTGCTAAATTTGGGCTACCGATATCACATGCTGAAAATTCAATACTTGTACCAAAATACTGTGTGAAATCAAGCTATAATAAAATTTAAATTTAAAACTAATAAGTAAGCCACAACCATTTCATTGTTTGGTTTGCTAAGATTCAACCAATTGGAATGTAAATTCAGCCACAACCTGTTTACTTAAAGTACTAGTTGCCGAGTGTATGATTATTACTACTATATACTTTAGCTTCACCGTTTATATACTTTACTCAAATTATTTTTCCTAACAGCAAGACGTTTAGAACATCATGTGAAACATGTTTTGAATGAAATATCCAATGATCCTCTTCGCTTAAAGAAGTTAATCACTGGCAGACGTGTACAATTGGCTGAGGATCTAAGTGAGTATTTGAGTATTGATTGCAGTTTTATTTTTTTTCTAAAAAATCAATAGTTTGCATGAATACAACTTGACACATACTACAAATAGTTTTTAACTATTCAAATCAACCAGGAAATATATATGTGTTTAAAATAACTACAGTTATTTATCTTTTGGTAGCGTTTATAATGTGGCTAACTGGAATTTAAATTATCTGTTGTATAAGTTTTATCGTAACTTGGAGAATTATTGTATGCATACTGAGCGAAAATTTCTTTTCTCATACAATTGATTACTATTGTATATATGCATGAGTAAGTATCATCTCTGAATGGCAGCTTTTTTGGGAAGGAAAATTAAATCTAGTTTGGTGACACTTTACAAAATTTATGGGATGATAGGAAGTCAAAGTATGTTCTCACCAATAATTGACGCTGTGAAGAGTTTCTAACCGTTGGAGTATACATATTTTTCGAGTATGTCAGCTGTGGGCAGGTTAAACTTACCTGCACGTCTGAGAACAACAGTGAAAGATTGTATAAAGGATTATCTGTCCTCTTACAATGATTATTCATTCGAATTACTGCTGTACTCATTTATTAATATTACTGATTTGCTCAAATGAAAGTAGTAGGAAGTTAAACAGTAATTACAGTAATGTATTCTAAAGAAGCGGGCTTATTTACAAGTATACATAGTTGGGAATATTTGCGATGCGATTTATTATAGTGAAAGGACAATAAGCAATCATGGATAGATAATATTGTTTGTATACTATATAAACTTAATTCGTTAATATAAGTATAAAACTTGGGCACTGTGGTAGAGTATAATTCCATTATGGATAAGGTTTTATTTTGATAAATCACACAGTGTTGTACACTAATATTAACTGATGACGTTTTGAGCACAAACTATTGCTCATAATCATATCAAGTTACTCACACAACTTTTTTCCTTCATTTATATACATGTGTGGAATCGATTAGATATTGGAATAAAATTCAATATGATATAATGTACATTCAGAAATAATAATACGAGTGTTATTGATGTATTACAATTAGATGGGAAAAAAGACGAGTGTTTCTACAATCATAATAAGTTAATTGTTAGAATGTTTTGATGTGTTTGAATTGAAATAGAATTTTATGATTATTTATTATCCTCCCCTGATTTGACTGGTGGTAATGATACGAGTGTTATTGATCAGTTGAAATTAGATGGGAAATAAAACGAGTGTTTTTATAGTCATAATAAGTTACTTCTTAGAATGTTGTAATATGCTTGAATTGAAATGGAATTTCAAGATTATTTATTATCCTCTTCTGATTTGACCGGAGGTAATAATATCTTCCATATTTCTGGTATTTGCATTGAGTCATTTCTGTTTTATGTGTTGGGTGTAGACTCAATGAACAAGTATTCCGTAATCAACCTCTCTCTCCACCTACCTATATTACTTTTTAGAATTTTAACCCTCTCCCACCCTATTATGTGGTTGTTTGTTAATGCGTGAAGTGCAATAGCTGAGCTTTTTTCTAAATTACTTATCTTTTCAGGGTCAACCATTCTTCCCTTGGCTAAATTCTTATGTTCTGACAATCTGACTACCCCTGGCCTACTAGTTTGACCTATGTAGTTAATATAACTGAACAACACTGTCTGATTTATCAAAATAAAATCTTATCCATTATGGAGTTAATTCGTTAAGTATAACAGAATATATATATTCCCCTGGATATGTATTAACTGAAAGTTACTACGTTTTATCTTTAAAGGCAAAGGAAACTGTTACCTCTTATGTATTAAATATAGCGGCTAACAAATATTCTGAAAATTGTTTTTACTAGTAAAAATTAGAAGATATGCTTCTTTAAGGACCAAGATGTACTAATTGCACTTCCTGATGTCTCGATATATGCATCTACTAAAGTAATATTCTTTTTTGTGAAATTAACATTTTAATCGATATTACGTAATGGGGACAATTTAGTTATTCTCAGTGATTACCAACCAATTGAGGTCGGATCTGTCGGACTTTGGTTGCATACAGATTCTTAGGATATGTTCCCGCCAAGACTCCAGCCTAGAGCCCATTGTTATAAACGTCGATGTTTTATACCCTAGACTGACTAACTGGCTGATTTCAACACAATAACTTTGCACAGATATGCAGCTGTTCGAGTTGTCACTTTCCATGCAGCATACAAAGCAAGAGAAGAGAGTAATGAGAGATTCAAAAGGGACATAATAAACAGAACTGTGAGGGAAAAGGAATAATATCATTGAAGAACAATGTAGTTTTATCGGGTATGATTAATCAGAAAGAGCGGATCTGCACCACTGAGAACGACTTTGAGCCATATCACCAATAGTCTCCAGTTGTTGGCTTTTAACATCCTGAGGACCACAACCAAGAAGTCTACACCTTCCTACATGGCTGGCCTAAACTGTTTTTGGTTTCATTGACTGATGAAGCCATGTTTTGTTTTGACCACCACTGACTCTTTTCCAACGTGATCCTATGTCAGCTAACAATGCCTGTCGAGTAAGGCGATGGCTAAGCATACGTAACACATGTCCTAACCATCTCAATCGATGTAACTTCACAGCCTCGTCTATTTATTTCTCCTCCTTACTTAGCACTCGACGCTTAACCTCAGTATTGCTCACCCTATTATACCACTTCACGCGGGGTATAGAACCTATGATGAAAGATATATCACTTCCAATGGCCATGTCTCACGGACATAAAACAGGACGAAGCGAACTGCTGAGCAGTATACACATCCTTTGGTCGACAGTCAGATATGACGTCTACGTTAGAGATGGCGTAAGTTGGCATATGGCTAACGAGCATTTTGTATCCGTAATGAGATTTCGTCAGCCTAGGCTTACCGAATCATGAGTCTAAGTTGAAACGCAACCACTCCCTGTCTTTGTAGGTATGTCTAGTTGATGTGTTCGGAGCAGAACTAAACATGGGTACTAGATTCTTTGTTATCATCTGTCAAATAACATTGAAAAACACTTTTTCCTGATTCTTGGGAACTTTTTTAATAACACTCGTTTTGCATTTTTTTCACGTAAAACTTATTATTCTGTATATTCATTTTCTCTATTTTATACTGTGCCCACTAATCCTATCATTATCATTATTATTTTAATGACAGATCGAACAAGACACATACAGGAGAAACTAGAAGAATTTATCGCGGCTTTAAAGGCCGGGGAATAGCTGTGATGTTGATTTTTTCTTCTTAGTGATTTAGGTTTTCATTGTACACTTTTAGTTATGTCATTTATGTCTTCTTTTGCATTCTTTATTATTCTTTGAAATATGTATGCAATATGTCCAGAATACTTTTCAGTAGTTTTTTGTTTTGTTTTTGTTTTTGCTTGTTCAATGTTCAATGGACTTTCATTTAAACAATTTATTATCTGTGTTCATGATTTCAATGTAGAATGTGCTTATTTTCAATATGAAATGGAAATACTGTGAAAAAGATGTCCATAATGTTAATGACATCTCAATGTTAATGCTTATGTCTACACACATTATTTTTTGTGTTATATGTAGATATTATTTAATTAGTTTAAAAATATGTGAATGCATCTTTCTACCTTCTGTAGAAAAACGCACAAGAGTTCATTCTTATTGGTGTTTTTTTCTCTCTTCTCTTCCACTATTTGATCTCAATGCTTCTATCATTAATTTGATAAATGTATGCAACACATAATTAATGCTTATGTGAAATGTTTATATCAATTCTGTCAGTTTTAAAAGTCATTTTTGATCTCAATAAAGTCGTTATTTGTCTGCTTGATCCACATCAAATGCATTTGTGGGAATACAAGATGTAGGTATTTGATATCTGAGTGAGCATTAGCTTAATAAAGGATAATTTTGTTCTCAATTTAGTTATAAATCGTCGAATATCAACTCAGTATACATATCTCAATGATTTAATGCATTTAGCCTATGTCAGTTTCAGTTCTTACCAGAGAAGGCACCCGATTAATAAGCTCTCATAGTTCACATTATATGAGGTGGTTCTTAGAATAATCACCTATCTTCCATCTAGACTTGTGACAATAATTATCAATGTATAATCAAGTTTTCAACATGATTGCATTAAAAAAAATATATCTGCAAAGTCAGTGATTGCTTTAAATTCTCTGGTGAAGCGTAGGCTTCCCGAATGAGTTCACTAAAGGCATTAAAATGCAAGCTTTAAGAATATAAGTTTAATTAAGAATTACTCCCAGGTTTTCCAGTGGTCCTCTAACTGATGTCAGCTCATGATGAAATCCTCCATGCAATCAAACAAAATCCCTACAAAAAAACCAATACTTGAAAATTAATCTGATGCTCACTAGCGACTGGCCCTATTCAGGCAGTTAACCTGGGGTTCTAGTGGGAAGTCGTGACCAGTAAGGTACAGCAGGTTGAAGATGAGGCAGTAACTCATCGAAGAAGACATTGCGAAATGGTCGCGCTATGTCGTGATTTGGCAGAAGTTAGAATTCATGGGCTGGCCATTGGATCGGGTCCCAGTGGCTTAGTGGTCTACGAGCTCGCCTTGTGACCAGAAGGCCCTCGGATTCGAACCCTGGTGATGGGTGTGTAGTGCTGAAGAGTCCCAAACTAGACTGATGAAACAGCTGTACAGTACTCCCTGCAGGTTTTCCAATGGTTCTCTAACTGATGTCAGCTCATGATGAAATCCTCCACGCAATCAAACAAAATCCCTACAAAACCAATACTTGATGATTAAGAAAACACATGAGTGGAGCAGACCTAATCTTCATATTGTTGTCGTTCATTAATACACTGTTAGTATATCATCCTTTGGGTTGAGTTGACTTTCTGAGTTAAGTTATACCAGGTAGACCGCTGATGTGCTCGGCTTCAAACGAGAGAAATAGTCATCATGTGTTTAGATCATTTCGATATGGTTATTGGTTGACGTGAGTGATATTCAACTGATTATCTCAGTCAATTAAGTGTATATATAGCATCATGCATTTACGCTTGCTCCCTTGACTATCATTATGTTATCAGGCAGATCACATATTGTGATATGAATAATTTTCATTTCCATAGGGAACTATGGTGAAATTTCATCTCGAACCTTTTATGAAGATGTGTGCACTTCGTTGAAAGCACTCTACATTCTAGTTGTCTGGAAATGACACAATATTCCAGATTATGGATCGTAAACAATTCAGTAGGGATTGTAGAATACACTCCTCATTTCCTATAGTCCTGTTCTTCATCTCACCTGAATTACACTTTGTTTCTTGAGAAATTTACTGTTTGCATTTGGAAGCACTTTACAATTCCCCAAGAGTTACTCGTAGATCGTTCATACCTTTCGGTTGTGAAACTCATAAACGTTTTAGTAATCATGGGTTGAAAGGTATAATTCTGTTGAATTCTAACTATATATCAGTGTTTTGAAGCAGAAACTGAATTTTCTTCAAAATGAGCAAACTATGGATTACACAGAGTAGGAATAATTTCTAATTATCAGCTATTCACTTCTAAGACAATATGATTAAGTTTGTATATCTTTATGCAAATTCCTGACAACATTTAGTAAGTTTCTTGCTTATTATAACTGAGTTCATGCTCTTGGTATTTCTGTAAGTTGTAACCGATACATTGAAAGAATGACGAAACTAGAATATTTGTTTGTCTCTGAGTTCAAAACCGTTCACCTTTTCTTAATGATCAAGATTGGAAATTCGTTTCACCGACAAAAAGCTTATAAATGTAATTGGCATACCAAGCCACTACCTTCTTCAAGGAGTAGTATTAGCTGAAATATGACTAGTTAGGAAAAGTTGTAAGGGTAGTTAGTTAAAGAAACCTGACATCAATCCATGATTTCCCACAAACTGGAAGATATGCAAGCGAAAAGCAACAAGTTGTCAGAAGAAGCATCAAAGATAGGACACAACCGTTGGATGAGGTGTATAATTGTTGGTGGCATCCCGTAGCAGCAAAGTAGTTTCCAAAACACCTCTCAATCGACGCTGTCGAAGGCCTTTTCAAAATCGATGAAGTTGAGGTAGACAGCTGACTGCCATTACAAACTCTGTTCAATGATGATACATAGTGTCGTGGTTTGGGCGATGCATCACTTGTTTCTCTTGAATACAGCCTGTTCCGGTCGAAGTTTTTCATCCAGGGCGTATCTGATTCTACTAGGATGATACGGCTTAGTATTTTGCTTGGGATAGACAGGAGCATAATTCCGCGCCAGTTCTTGTATTGACTTAAGTCCCCTTTCTTTGGCAGCTTGAATAAGTAGCCTATCTTCCAATCCTCGGGTACCTTACCCTCTTTCTACACCTCCAGTAGTGGCGTCATCAAGTCCGCTGATATCTCGGGACCCATTTTCAATGCCTCTGTTGGGATTCCGGTTGGTCCTGTTGCTTTTCCAGTTTTTAGCATCCTGATTGCCTCCAGGATTTCTGCTTTCTTCGGAGGTTTGGTATCCACTAGTGGTTATGTTTCCGCTGTTGGTATTATTGGTCGCATTGTAGGTGGCGGTCGACTAAGAAGTCTTTTGAAGTGTTCAGCCCAGTGTTTCCTTTGCTCCATCTCTTTCGTGATTGACTTTACATTGTCACTCTTCACTGGCTTAATTTATGTTGATTGCTTCCTCGATAGGAACCTAGTTGTTTGGTAGAGCGTTGCGAGATCTCCTTTGCTTGTAGCTTGTTCTGCTTCACTTGCCATAGCTTCGTAATATTTTCTTTTGTCTTCCGTGGCACTCTTCTTTACTCTTTTGTTCAGTGTATTGTAATTTGCATTCAATTCCTGTTTTTGTTACTCGTCGATGCATTGGATAATCTTTTGTTTCACCATCCTTCTCTCTTCTATTAGTCTCCATGTGTCCGTAGTGAGCCACTGTTTGTCCTGTCTCTTCTTTCTACCTAGGACTTCCATGCAGGTTTGATTCCACACCTCTTTCAGATTGTCCTAGTGATTTTCAACGCCGGTCTCTTCGTTAGTGTTGATTTGTGTCTTCGCCTTTTTCCTTATGATTGCAGTGAAGATGTCCTCTGTGGCCTTATCTTTCAGTTTTTGAGTATTGAATTTGGCTTGTAGTCTACCTGTTTTCTTGAATGTTCCTTGCACAAGATTGTGGTCTGAGCATACGTGTGCTCCTCTTCTTACTTTTGTGTCCAGTAAGCTGCATCTCCACTTCCTTGAGATTAAGTCAATTTGGGTTTTGGTTCGCCCGTCTGGTAATACCCATGTAGCCTTGTGGATATCCTTGTGTTTGTATACCCTGTCACCAATCACTAGTTCATTGAAGGCACAGAAGTCGGTGAAGAGTTCACCATTTTCACTCATCTCTCTAAGTGCCTCTCTACCCATAATGAGCTCTCTTCCTTCCTTTTGAGTTGAATCTGGCGGTAATTATCCTGAACGAGATCGCTTCCCATTGTATCAGGGCCTTCGTTGCCATTGGTGACATCATGATAGGGAGTTGTGACATAGGGATGTAAGTTACAGAGGAGCGAATTTTTGGGTTGCTCCCTTTAGAGTCAGGAAAATAAGAAATACTGCAAAAAAGAATCACAACAGGAAAGGTAGAGACGATGACAACAACAGTAGCAAAAATGTCACTGTCAAATGCGATTACCGAATATAACTATATATATATATATATATATATATATATATATATATATATATATATATATAATAGTTAGTCATAGGTATCCGCTCAACGTGTTTAACAGTCACAAATTGGAAATTTATATCCACAGAGTTAGTTTTCGAAAACAAAATAGGTTAAGACAGATTTCGCCAGTTCGGAGTTGATAATGTAATGCAATGATTAACTGCAGCAGATATATCCACTCGATGTGCTTGACAGTCATAAATTGGCAAACAGTAAGTTATAGGTAGTAATAGTCAATAAGATTATATCCACAGGACCAGTGTTCGAAAGTAAGACGATTACAATAAATTCTACCATTTTCTGGCTAGAAAAACCAGAGAAATGAAAGTCTTATCCATGATGAATATTTTTCACTTAATAATGACGTTAACAGATCATCACTTACGATTAATAGATCGTATATTTATTGAAATTTATATCTGTTGTCACAATGTTCATATGTTTATATGTATTTAACATTTTTGAAAAGTTGTATTGATAACAATGTTTCTAGAGTATTCAGCTCACAAGTCCAACTGAAATCTATGGATTG